TTGTAAATAACTTTCAACTTGAAGCCTTTGTATCTGCCTGTGTAACATGTTTATTTTCTTACTCGCTGCCGTTGTTCAAGCTGAAATGTCTATTCCTGTGAACAGCTCTTCTCTGTATCCCTCATTGCAAATGCTGTTGCTTTCTTTAGAAAGCTGAGATGCAGCACTGACCCCTCTTAGAGAAAAGAGTGTTGTTGTAGGAGTAGGCCCCCCCCCGTCCCGTCCCGTCCTCTCCTCTCCCTCCCGCCTGTCACTTCAGACAGCCTCTCACTGGAGAGCGCTCTCTCAGATCAGCACTAAACTCTCTCCTTAGTCTCAGGAAGTGTTGGAGGAAGCACTCTGCCTCGTAGGCTTTTCTTAGACGCCTAGGTCTCATTGCATATTCATAGCCCTCCACAGTCGAGGGTATCAAGTTTTAAAAAAGAAAGACACTGAAGCGTTAATTATTCACGGTGAAATGGTGAAACACTCTGTAATTTTTAGAAGATATATTAAGGCTTTCACATACATTTTTGATGTTTAAAAACATGCCCTTGTTGGCGTAGATTTGGAATGATTGCTGACCGCCAACAACCTGGAGGCCATTTTCCCATGATCTCAATTGTTTAAACACTTTTATGCATCACTCTCCATTGCCACACAAATAATGCAAAGACAACTGCTGTAAGTGGGGAATTAAGAGGCTACAATGTGCCGTCAGATCTTAGCGCAGTGGATGTATCCTCCTAAACATCACGCTCTGCATATCCATTACACTGCAAGCAGGGTTGCATACATTACACTTTATTTTAAGCATGAGCAGACTACGAGCATAATAATCTAAATTATTGAAAATAAGTTATAAAAAACTACACATTTGTTGTGTTTAGTATGATAAACCACAAAATGTAATAGCTGCAATAATAGTAAGATGTCTTTTGTTGAACAGAACTCATAAAACATTTTGAAACTAAACCGAAAGGTTGGTTGAACATGCAAATAATTGTGCACCTCAAAGTAAGTAAAAGGGTAGGATTTTCACCATTTTTGTTTGCAATATATACATATTTAATATTGTTGAATAAACACCAATAATAAGTCCCTATACAAAGCGACAGTATGCTTTTATAAAAAGTCATCAAGAATATTTAAAACTTTCTTTTTGTAAGTCTTCCAAATCCCCAAACAATTAAGAGGCCAACTGCTAACTCAATTTCAAGTCCACCTTCAGGTGCTCAGGGAAGTGGTTGTAAAAGCTGGACAGAGAAAAGAAAACATTTCATGGGCAACACAGGGAGAAATGTTACTGTGGTGTAATGGTTTAAAATACCATCTGGTTTAAACCTCACGGGGCAGAAACAAAAGTCTAATTAATTACATCTGGTACAATATAACAACTTATAATATACTGTGTAATGTATACATGGTACATCCCAGTAGAAGTTGCCTCTGTGGCAGAGCCTGTAAACGTCCCTCTCAGATCACATCACAGCCAGTCCGACGAGTGACACAATTCAAATGCCTACAAGACCCCAAATAAGTGCTTCCTGCAGTGGGATGCAGGCGAGAACCTCCGCGCCCTGTCCTCCTGCTGATTAATAGCCGGCGTGTCTTGCTGAGCGGTCATGCTTGGACACGGCTGGGGGTTCAGACTGCGAGCCAGGAGGGGCTGACAGCGTGAGCTATGTGCTGCTCTGCTCCACGGGAGGTAATGAATCGCTGTGGCTGCCGGGACTGAAGTGTAGACAGCGGGAGGAAGAAAAGTGATCAGTCTTTCAGGGTGAGGTACCCGTCCAGCATGTGGGCCACTGGAGAGAGAGCGGAAGGGGAAGAAAGAAGAGGGAAGAGAAAGGGGTAAGAAGAGCAGATACATCAGGGAAAACTGTGAAGGGAGTTAACAAAGGGGAGAGGTTTTTTAATTCAACTAATTCCATATTAAAACAGACAGCTTTATAAGCTTTCCTCTCTCCCTAAATGGTCTGCAAAGGCTAAAATCACAAAGTTCTACCTCATAAGCCTCCATTGGACCCCTTTGTTTACTTCAGTAACATAGTGACATCACTATATAACACTCGCATGTCACAGTAGACGCACAAAATACAAATATGAACCTGAAAATGAGCATACTAGGGCCCCTTTAACTTAAAATTCATAGTTTTTCCATAGCTTATAAAGAAAAGAGCCCTTCTGTGAGTTATCTTATCACATCGCGTCGCGACTTGTCAAAGCCCTAAAAGATCTCAAACAAATAACAAACTTCCTGTTTAACAAACCCCACTATGTACATAAAGAAAACAAAACATCAACAATATACCAAAAATGAAAAGAAAGAAAAACGAGTACAGATTACAAACATATTCACCATAAGATCATTTGGACATATTTTTAAAGATAAACCAACATTCTAGGAATACATATTATTTTTAACTCAAAATAACATACATTGTGTAAACTGCTAGTAAAAACTTCCTCAACTTTGACTTGTTAATGAGAAATATTCCTTGAGAGCTTTGGGTTGAACCCATTTCATATCTTAGCATGGTTGTTCTAACAAGCTTTCTGAATGTTGATTTTCCTGGGTACTTCTGGCTGTCTTCTATTCAAAATGTTTTTGGGATGTTTGGAGGTACTATATCTCATAATGGAAACTGTTTGTTTTCAGCCGAACAATGTCAACAAGTAACAGCACATGTGCAGCTATACAAAAAAGAGAAAGCGATAGCTGGGCGTGACCTAGTCTGTGTTAACGTTCCAGGGGAAATTCACTCCCTGTGTCCCCCAAAACACTCCTTATACCGCCACAGAAGAGGTTCATTATTCTCACTTTACTCCTCCACTAATTATCGTTATCATTATGGGGGGATAATTAGCATTTCCCTGCCTAACACCCATGTAGGCTGCTCGGCAGTGAGTCACACACAAGGTTATCAATAGCTGCTCAATTGCAGTCTCATCTGCCTAATTATACGATTTGGGGCCTTGTGATAACTGAAAGAGATGTGGAATCTAGTATTATTCTCTGAGTGCTGGTGAGACGGGAGAGTCAGCACACGGCTCTGAAATAAACCGATGCGTGTGGAGCCTGTTAATTAAATGCTGTGGCTTTCACTGGAATATAAATCAGAGGAAATCCAGGGGTTATGAAACAACTGGAAGTCTCAAAAATATCCTGCAAGCTAGTACAAAGCTGCATGAAACTAAATCCTGCGACATCTAACTTTAGAATCCTCCATCTTTGATTCCCTTCATTCCTCGCCTTGTAATACATTTCTTGTTATCTGGTTTCAGGGAGCTCTGTCCTACTCTATTAGCACCAATTCAAGCAGTTCATACCACGATATTAATGAAGAGCCCGCAGCAGCTTGCCATTGTTCAGCAAACCTGTCTTACAGCGTCCGGGTGTGACTTAAGCCAAGCTTAGTAGCCGTGTTTGTCGAAAGGGTTTCTAAATCCCTCTGTGGCATTTTGGAGTTGCAGCTGACGCCTCAAACCTGATGAATGCTCTCTCCATCTGCTGCAGCTCAACACCGGAGCAAAAACACTGACACAGGCCTAATCAGCAGAAGAAATTCATTAGACCTGCCCTCTGTTACGCACAGAAAGATGAAGTCAAGAATTAAAAAAGAGGGCATGAGGGTGGTACAGAGGGTTGGAAGAAGGTGACAGGATGAATGGTTCAGTAAGCGTGTGACAGACGTTTGGGTCTGACTGCTGGAATGTGTGCCGCAGAGGACCTCATGACGGACAGGGGGCATATTCTCTTTGACCCCAATTACCAGAGGTGTTCCTTTCCACTGGCTAATCCGTGGCATATAGGGTGGCCCCTCCTCTGGACATTTTCTCTGCCTGTTTGTTTTCCCTACAAGTCATATGGAAGATGGTTGTGCTAACCAGGATGTGACTGACCCCTTATAAAAATATTAGCAACATCTTTGCACCTAAACAGATGAAGTGTCTGTGGTTAATGACGTTTTTTTGTTAGCATTGATTTAGCATTGATTACCTGTTTTTATTATTAAGTGTTTAGGCTAATACATCTCAGAAAAAATTGATCATTTTCAAATAATTCTCTCCAATAAAATGTTTATTTAAAAACGATGTTAAAATGCAAAACATTTGCAGTTGTTTGTTCTTAGGTCACTGGAAAAGCTTGAACCATAATGTTTGCTTAACTTATCTCAATAGATGTATTGATTATTGACATTTTTGTAATTTAGTTATACATTTTTTTTTTTTTAAATACTGCTCTTAAAGGCAGGGTAGGTAAGAATAATAATAATAATAATAATAATAATACATTACATTTATAAAGAGAATGGAGAAACCAGCTCGAGTGCGCTAGAATTTGAAAGTACGCTGCCGAAAAAAATCTGCCACTTCCTTCAGACTCCCTTACAGAGCCCCTCCTCCAACACACACGAACGCACACATGACCAATGAGGGCACGAGATAAGTTTGTGCACGAGATGGGAGGCTGACAGGCAGGTAGGCCTCCGGCTAAAATAATTGGTCGTGCTTTTTACAGCGCCATGGCAACACCATGTTAAGAGCATTCCATGGAATATAACAAAAAGTGTTTCTGAAGTGAATTACCTACCCCAACTTTAAATCAAATTAATTCAGTTTGACGTTTTTGCTGGTGCTATTGTTCGTAAACATTGTATTTTCTTTCATATCGATATGGACCCGAAAGACGCCTTGCACAAAATGCATAGATTTTAATTAGCTGTTTTTAAAATAGGGAATATGAAAAGAAAAAATTGAATGTTGTTGACAAACTGTTTCTAGTATTCAGAAAAATACAGTCCCACTCGCTTCTATTAAGTTTATTTTTTTTATTTTCCACAAAATCACCTAAGGCTCTGGGAATTTTAAACAGACATACACTATGTTCTCACATTTTCAAGATCAAGATATTTGTTTTACTAAAGAGGTTTCAATTGAACCGCAGCAGCGTTTTATATTTATGATGCCAGGAGATTATCTGACCGCCGTCTCTGCTTACTTCTTTCCACAGAGACGCTTATGGACTCCACTACAGCCACAGCGGAGCTCGGCTGGACGGTGTACCCCGTGTCAGGCACCAGTGACAACAGCGTAAGTGACACACTCTGCTTTGAAAAAGATCTGTTTCTGAGAAAGAAAATATCATTAATAATATAATTGCAAGTCATTGTTACTGTGACAAAGATGAGGTGTGTGGTGGTCCTCTCTTTTGTTGGATTTAAGAGTGCAGCTAATGTGTAAATTTGCTAAGTGCCCCATGCTAACTTTATTTCAGTTATTTAGCCAGTGTTTTGCTTTCACACTTTAAGGTTAAAGATCAATTAGTAGCCTGCCTGCCCAGTCCCTGGAGTAGGCTAAATCATTTCCTCGTTTCTCTGGGGGGAAAATCCAGCAACGGCAAAGTTAGACATGAACATCACACAAGGGGATTTTAGGGGATGTTATTTGATGAGGATTTTCAAGATGCTTCCTTTTTGTTTTTGGATATTCCACAAAGACGCTTTTACCCCCTTCATTTGAATATTCACCAGCCACATTTTCTGGGTTATTCTTTTATGAATGCATCCAGTTTTCATTCAATCTAGCCTGATCTGAACTTTCCGCTTCACTACAAACACAGTTAGAATGAACAATCATAAACTTGAAGCTTAAATCTGTGTTTTCGCATGCCAGGCTAGAAGCTATGTGTTATATGGAGCCTGTTAGTGTTTGATGCACAGTGTTTCCACTCAGTTTGCCAGAGCATGGCCACATGCAAGCCAGGCCCACTTAATGTCAGCCAAAACCAGAGTCTCAGTCTCCTTCACTTCTTTCCTCACCACAAGATTTAGACTTCTGAGGGGCAGTCCAACCGAGAGGGAAAAAAATGTTGTAAACTTATTTGCTGGTGAATAAAAAAAAAACACTGCAGATTCTATTCAATTATTTATGCTTCTGTGGTTTGTAGTAGAGACGGTTTGAATTATACTTTATCATGCTGTGTCTTTTTGCACTAAAAAAACAAAAAAATGCAGCGTATAGATCTGGCCTCCAACAGTTCCACTTCAAAGTTGTTCAGCAATGATTTTGAATAACTTCATCCCCCCCAACCTGAGTGCATGTTGTCTCCTCCTCAATGCTCATTCTTTCAATTAATAGCAAAGCAAAGAGACGCCTGCTTTCCTTTTCTCTTGCCAGCTCTGGTTCCAATTTACACAGAATGAGGGAGAAAAAGAGAGCTTATGCACAAAAGCCAACTCCAAAGACAGTTTACATCACATCTTCCTTTCATCTTTGCTAAACGTCGGATTCAGCAAAACATTCACTTAAAACCATTTCATAATTTAAAACTAAATGGAAACTTCAGACAAACAATGTAATACGCATACAAATGCAACTTGCAAACTAAAGTGAAAATTAGGTGGAATCAAGAACTTCATCGTTGTTCCCCGTGGTGTACCGCCTGACACGGTAGATTCTCTTCCACATTTGTTCACATGTAGTTTCACTGAAAGACTTCAGCAAAAACCAATTCATCATCACATTTAAGTGGAAACTTCAGATGAAAAATGTAATACATGCAAAAATGCCACTTGCAAACTTAAGTGAAAATCTCCCAAAAGTAGGTGGAATCAAGATAAAACTTTAAAGTGGACCTATCTTGCTATATTTGAATAATATAGTGTAGGACCATACCTATATAAGACATATTTCTACTTTTTATTTTTCAAAATACCAAACGGATCATGCATTTTAGCCATTCCTCATTTCGCTCAATTTAACACTGTCTTTGCATGGGCTGATTCTGTGAGAACAGCACCATCTACAGGCCTGGCATATGTACTACAGTGTCTCCAGCGCTTTCGAACGGCAATGTCCGTGGCTGTCTCCTCCTGATTGGTGGAGTTGGCCCAATAGCCATAGCGCCACTTCTGTGACGTCATAAAAGTGTTCAAATCTGGATAAGTCTGTATCAGATCCGTTGCAGCCCCTTTTTAAGAGATTTGGGTATGGAGGAAAATAGAGAGGGTTGTGTTTTCTGACACTTGGTGAGTTCCCTGGAACATCAGGGACATATATTCATGTATAAAAGACGTACAAAAGTGCATTTTGCATGATAGGTCACCTTTAAACTAAAGAGGAACCGTCTTTGTTCCTTGCGGTGCACCGCATGATTTTGTGGTAGTTTCCCTTCTAAATATCTTTGACTAAAGGCTTATCTACGAGGGCTTTCCTATTTTCTGCTTTGACTTCAGATAATTCCACGGTTCTTTCCAAAAAAACTCCATATGAAGCTATAATACATCCCTCTCTCAGAGTGCAATGAAATGCAAACAAGTCCCTAAGCCTCTGGATTTAGTCAGGTATAGGTTTGGTCTTATCGGCGTGGGCACGGAACTTTTATGATGATTTGGCTGAGCTCGTCAAAAGCACAGTCCATCGGAAAGGGACGAGTGAGAGCGATGGGAGATAGCTTGTCCCTTATGGCGCGGGGCGACAGGTGTGGAAACACAGCACGCTCTCCCTCTCAGTATAACAGCGAGAGGTGCTTTACAGAAGCTATTGTCTTACACACATATATATGCATGGCTTCACGGGCTTAGCCAGTGGATCAGTAACATCCAGCAGAGCGCCGCAGCACCAACAGTTGGCTTTCACTACTCTGTACAGCTTTATGAAATATATCCTAACTTGACATGCGATACTTTGAGACACAATGGAAATGCAATCAAGCAACAGTGTGATATTAAGTCAGAAATGCTATGGCAGTTGGTTTTATTGCACTCTTTTATTTAACAGCATATTTGATATCGCCTATCACATTATTATTCTAAGAAATCTCTTCAAGCACAGCTGTAAAATCAACTCTCTACAGTAGGTTTTTCAAAGTGATTTGTGTCATACAGCATAGCTTCGGTAAATCATGTTTTATAACCCTCTGTGTACAGCAAGGCAGCTCTTCCTTCTAATTATGTTAAATGACAGCCAGACTTGTGTCGTTCCTGAGCCACACACGCAAGACATCTTCTTTATTCCCAAAAAACTGAAAACACTGACAAAAGATGTTCTATTCATCAAACAATCTAAATCAGTTTAGGAGGTTTGAAAGCTGAAAATGTTTAAGATTCTGGCAATAAAGCAAATACCTCACCTCCCCCCACAAGGAAACCAGGGCAGTCAGTATAGTTTGGCAATCATGTAGACATGTGACCAGTGACCACATACGCAAAAAGGACAGGGCTGCACAATTAATTGACATTTTATGAAATTGGAATAATGACTAATGCAATATCTCAATTGCTGTAGGGGCAATATTTGGCAAAGGTCACATGTGGTAACATATCTGAATGAAAGTCCCAGCCTGCAAAACTTCTGTTCTACAGACTTAATACAAAAAAATCCTTGTTTGGTACAGACCCTCTTAAAATAATAATTGTAATGCATTTTCTTAATGAATATTTATAATACAAATAATAATTTCCTCTACAATCACAAAGCAAGTCAAATTTCATTTATATAGCCCCATATCACAAACACATTTGTCTGGTCTCTACATATCAACAAATATAAATAACAATGTATTTAGATTTAGATTCAGGTAAGAATGTAAAATAAATCAAAATACAGGGTGTAAATCGTGTGAAATTTGCAATATCAGTCAATATAAAGGCAATAAAAATAATGTTCCCAGTCGTCTAGCCCTAAACGTTACCCACATTTGCAACAAAACTTGTGCAGCACCTTTAACATCAGTCCACGTAAAGATCGTGATTCCTCTACCTTTGTCTTGGGGGGACGCTGCACCACCCCAACGGAGCCCCGCGCCCCCCCTGAAATTCAAGGTGTTTTTTCATTTGTTTTTATTATTGTTATTATTTTTATTTTTATATATATATATAGCGCCAAATCACAACTGAAGTAATCTATCTACGGTCACTTTTCGCATTGAACTCTTTTATTAAATAAACTAAACGCTTATGTTATTTATTCAATTTATGTGCATGTTTCGGTGTGTCCACTGCATTGCTTTGCACATCCACATTCTGTCCTCCGCTCTGTTTCTGAAGGGCGGGGCTCTGCTCCGACACTCACAGAAAGTGCGGAAGAAAGGAAGAGAACAACAAAGTGTAAAAAATAAATCTGCATTATAGCCCCGAGCTCTGCTGTTGGTCATTTAAGTCCCGCTCGTAATTTCCACATGTCCCCCCCACTGTTAAAAATCCCGTTTGTGTCCCCCCACTTTCAAATTTGTTTATTATAATTTTTTAACCTCCTCAAGCCGTCATCGTCACGGAGTAGCAGGATACACGGCCTGCCTAGGTGGACACGCGCAAACCCGAACACGAACACGAACACAAACGTAGTGTGCACATTCTAAAAATAGCTCACTGATGATGAGCAGGTACCGCGGTTTTGAGTTTTCAAACCCTTTGGCAGTCTTTTATGTGACATGGAGATAACGTATAGCCGGCTAGCATAGCAGGGTTAAGTGGTCAATGTTTCTTCTCAAGTGCATCTGAGCGACGCGTGAACATCAGGTCAGACCCCTGACCCTCTCACTCCGCAGCTGAAGTAATGACAACAGCAGCCATTTAGAAATAGAAATCCGCAGGGAGCACACAGAGCTACCGTGGAGGGAAAACTGCGATTGCGGAGAATATAATAAAGTGTCGTGTGTGTGGGTCAGGTTATCATTATGGATGTGTGACAATGTGTTATACCATGAAATATCGAGTGTCACTTGGGGATACAACACAGGAAGGAATGTTGCACAATGTTTAGAAACAAATGAGTTCCTTGTGCTTTATTGAAGTTGCTGCATATTGTATTTACATTCCTCTGGAATAGGATTGAGGTTGTTTACTTATTATTGTGGGCAAGTGTGGCAGACCGACATGGCATACTTTCTTCACACAGCTATTCTTCTTCTATACAAGTAATTTGTTAAACACAATTTACTGTTTTGCTGGTTTTAAGCGACCGCTAATGTGTGACTATGATTCACAATTAAAGTCTGTGAAATTACATTTTCTGAATTATGCAAAGAAACATGCAAACATAATGTAACCTTGTGGATTGAGAGTAAAAAGATGGAATTGTTCCTGTAGTTT